ATTCATACACGTTTCATTAAATAATATAGACAAGTGCTGTCTATTTATTTTATGTAAAATTTTTTCGTAACATCTGATAAGTTTAATAACATTATCGTTGAACGAAGAAAGAAATTCACAATATTGATCCATATTTTTTTTAATATAATCTAAGCTTTCGGCTTACTTAAGCCATTATCAAAGATGTCAATTACAACATATTAAACAATATACGGACACGACAGTGATGATAGTCTGTCAATGTTTACATAGATGATTTCTAAGCAACGATAAACACGTGCATATAAGACGCTAGAAGCGAAAATCGCACCGCATCTCATGACGTCACATATGACTACACGAGAGTGAATTGTAGAAGTATGGCAAGCCATATATATATATATATATATATATATATATATATATATATATATGGGGGGGCTCTCCCGTCGTATTTAACTAATGAAGGTCAAGCAGCTCAGTTACAAGGACCCGAGAGCCAGACACCAGCACATACGACTTGATTATAGTGGTGAAAGCTTTGTGCAGAATAAACCACGCTTTTTTATATATATTTTACTGTCAAAACAGTTAAATGTAACCGCCTCTTCTACTCCAACAGCTTCTTTTCTCGCACTTCCCGACAGTGGAACTTCCTTCCTCTTAAATGCTTCTCTGATAGCTATAATCTTCAAATATTCAAATTTAATCTTCTGATACCTTGATCTTGATCCCCGTTCTACTCTTTATCCTTTCCTTAAACACCCCGTTTTTTTCTCTTGCTCTCAATCGTCTGTAACCCCTTGCGTGCTGTTGGCACTTCCATCTTGCCTGGGGTGAAATGCTTAAAAAAATGTTAAATCTTAAATAGATTTAGATGCCTATTTTTCGGTAAAATAGAATAAGCAGGTTTAAAATATCTATTTTTGAAATAGGCGTATTTGTTACGTGAGGGAAGGTTGGCGTAACGGTTAGCGGCTCGGATTGAGGAAGGGAATGCCGAGTTCGAATTTCAGTTGTGATCGTCACATCCACTTTTGGGTAAAATAGTAAGACAAGGTCCTATAGTCTTTTGTTGGCAACCAGTCTTGGAGAAGGAAACTTTGAATTGGCAAAGGGTTGTAGAAATAACTTCAAAAACAAATCCAACGGTGGACGGAGTAATCCCGACATTCCAGGTGCAAAATGAAACGGCAAGACTATTCTATATTCAATATCACCCTGAATCACAATTCTAAGATGGAAGGAGTGGCAGTGCAAAATGCGCTAACTGGATAAAAGGATAAATGAATCATGACGATGATACAAGTACTACTATTTAATCCATAGATAGGGAGAAAAGAAACGCTTAAATGAATATAACGAATCTGAAGTCGCAACGACCAGGGAACTAGACATGCTTTAACGAAATATTTTATCCTCTGGGCCATGCGTCTCTTAGACAATTCAGTTTTATCATTTGGGATTATTTAATCTAACGTTTTACTTAAATAGTGGTGTTTTATGAACATTCTGTGAGCATGAATTATGGTACCCTAGACAAGGTATTTTCAGGGTCGCCGCTACTTTAGCACTGGCAACACCCCTTCTACCGAAAAATGTGCGTACTGCCTGACTTTAGTCCTTTAACTCTTTGAGCCCTGACCACCGCTTTACTGGTGATAAAGAAAAATGATTTAATGCCCAGCCACCGGTTGAATTGCAGGTAAACACTTGTAACTATTTTTTATATCTACCGTGAAACATTACATATCAATAATTTGCGAATTTTGACTCAGGAGCTCAGGCAGAAGGGTTGAAATTGTTCGGGAACGCAAAACTGAAAGGGTTAAAAAGTTAGAAAAAGAAAAAGTGAACATATTTAGAAAAAAAATCGGACTAGAAATTCTTTCTGCTTTTAATATTGAATTAAAATATTTTTTTATTATTTATTTATTCTATTCTCTTTTTTTTTCAATAGGAGTAGATATGTCTGCCTATCGCCGGGGTCATACTCCTTCCCCATCTTTTAAACGGAAGTTGAGGTTTATCCCTATTTCCTGTTTAAGGATGGGCTTCCGGTTCCTTCTGAAGCCTTAAGACTTTGAGCCCTGACCACCTTTTTACCGGTGGTAGAGAAAAATGACGTAATGCCCAGCCACTGGTTGAGCAGTGATAGAGAAAAATGATTTAATTCACAGCCATCGGTTGAACGGTGGATAAACACTTATTTTTATATCTACCGTGAAACATTAGATACCAATTATTTGCGAATGTTGGCTCAGGAGCTCAGGCAGAAGGATTAAAATTGCTCAGGAACGCGGGTTAAAGAGAAAAAGTAAGTGAACAGATTTAGAAAAAAAATCTAACTAGAAATTCTTCATACTTTTAATATTGAACTAGCAGCATGGCCTGGCGTTGCCCGTGCTTGATTCAAAAAATCGTACGACTCATACAGCAATCGCTATCACTTGACTTGAAATATTTTTACCCTTCCTTGCCTTTAAAGGAGTGCCCTTTGCCGTGCTAATGTTGCTACATGCCTTACTTCTTGCCTATCTCACACTGCAAATTTTTTCTAAGCTCTATACTAAACATTAAATCTGTTACGAAAAAAGAACTAAACAAAATGAACACAAAACGATCAGCTTTAAAAAAGGACTCGTAACTGGAAAAACCGAATGAAAAAAGAATGTTAACAACAAATACTTTTTCACACCCAACCCAGTTCTGCGGAATCAGAATCAACGTTGAGTTTAAGCAAGCGAATGAGCCATTTTGCAGATTTAAAGAATGCAGCTATCGATTTTTTTTTTTGCATGCAGATTTAACATTTTCAGTCCTGTTGGCTCTCACGCTGGCCAATAGAATCTTCCGCCTATATGGCAGATTTTTTTTTTACAAAATGGCCGCAAACTAGCATGAAAACTGCCGTAGAAACATGAAAAAATCAATTATTTCGTGGGAGTTGGGAAATGCAATGTGTTGGCCTTTCACGCTGGCATGTGCATGTAAATTTTTGATGCAAATCCGTCGAAAATTCCTGCATTCGGTACACACACACACACACACATATCCTGATTTTATAGATAGAGATAAAAACATTATTTATTCTATTCTTCTTTTTTTTCAAGTAGATGTATCTTCCTATCACCGGGGTCATACTCTTTCCCCATCTTTTAAACAGAAGTTGAGGTTTATCCCAATTTCCTGTTTAAGATTGGGCTTCCGGTTCCTTCTAAAGCCTTAACCCTTTGAGCCCTGACCACCTTTTTACCGGTGGTAGAGAAAAATGACCACCTTTTTACCGGTGGTAGAGAAAAATGACCACACTTTTTACCGGTGGTAGAGAAAAATGACTTATTGCCCAATTGAACGGTGCGTAAACAGTTGTAACTATTTTTTTTTTACCATTGAAAAATAATTAAAAACAAAAATCATTTTACCCCAATCAAGGCAATAATGCCACTAAGACGCAAGAGGTTACTGAGAGTGAAAGAGAATGTGATGACTTTAGTCAGAAAAAAGGTAAATTGTCGTTATTGTCATTTTGTTAATACAGTCACTTTCCCACCGCCATAACGTAAGTCCTCTCTGTCTTTTCAATAAATATTTCCATGGCAGTTGTTCTGATGAGCTTTTCCCCTTGGTAACTAGACTGCGTGATTATAAACGTACTACTAGATTGGCAATTAGGTCTCATTTTTTACTGCTGAAATAGCTATATGTAATAGTAAGTTCTATTCTAAGAGGTTTTGTTTTTTTGCACTTCTCGCCTGTTGAACTCTCTCCCAGTTTCCTGCTTTGTTACCAGTTACAATCTTCAAAGATTTTAATGCAACATCAATCGTCATCTTCTGTTATAAATTCTATTCTTCCTCACTAAATTCTCTTTCATTTCCATTTACTCCTTGCGTCTTAGTGGCATTATCGTCTTGCTTGGGGTAAAATCATTTTAAAGTAAAGTCTAACATAGTTAAAGAATTGTGTATTAATTTCACGAAAATGCATATAAATAATGTTTTATTTGTTTACATGTCCGAGATAAGGTATTATAACTATTTACACTATTTACAACATTTGCACTACTGCCCTCATTTTTTTTGCCACATTCACGACGTTTCGGCCGTTGTACGCCCCGACCTTCTTCAGGTGATATTAGTTGGAATTTCAAACCGAATCTTTTATTTAGTCCAAGGGAGTAGATTGTTCATGACACGTGGAATTAGAACAATCTTCCCCCGTGGATTAAATAAAGGGTTCGGTTGGAAATTCCAACGTATATTCTCTGAAGAAGGCCGTGGCGTGAAACAGCCGGAATATGACAGTAAAGATGAGGACAATATTCCGAACGATGTAAATAGGGTAAATATTTGATTTATTTTATTATATTCCGTCCCCCAAAAAATGTTTCTACAACCATATTTTATCTCAATAAGAAAAATCATTTTTATTGTGTGTATGGGCATCCGTACGACGTTAGCTTCGCGCGAACACTTTTTTTCATTAAAAGCCTCGATATCACTTAATTCATTGGCTTAAAAGCCAATATGTTTCGTTCTTTTAAAATCACGTGACTAAGTGAAGAAAGACAATTTCGCAGGACAGTCCATAACGTTTATTTTATTTTATTTTATTATTTTCTATATTGTTATTCCTTTTTTTTATTGTATGGCAGAATCAAAAAGCTATATTATCCCACGGTCTGAAAATTGTTTCACGAATCAAGCAATAAAAGCGTAGGTTTTTCTAGCTTTTGCTGCAAAAACGCCTTAAGCAACACTAATAACAATACGCGCTTTTTCAACGGGAAAGGTGGAGGGGGGATTCCCTTCTTTTTTTTTTTTATAGGAGTCGCGTGTAAAAGCTGGAATGGCGTCAACAAACAGAGGCTCGTAATTGGTAAATGTAACTTTGGCATTACTCGGAACGGGGAGCCGGATCGGCGGAATGCCATCAGAATCGACGAAGTTGTAAAACACGGGCATCTATACAATTTAGCAGCTATGAAAATGGACGTGGTGTATCATTAACAGTGGTGTCTAATAAGAAACAATCAGCTCCAGACGTGCGGAGGCCTGGGGTGAAATCAGAAGGGAGACACAGCGATGAAGTGAATGTGTCTTTAGGGGAGCGGACGTAAGAAAAACAGGAAAGGAAACAATGAAAGTCACAAAAGAAAGAAAGAAAGAAAGAAAGAAAGAAAGAAAGAAAGAAAGAAAGAAAGAAAGAAAGGAAGAAATGGTAAAGAAAGAAAGAAATAAAGAAATGGTAAAGAAATGAAAGAAAGAAAGAAAGAAAGAAAGAAAGAAAGAAAAGAAAAGAAAGAAAGAAAGAAAGAAAGAAATAGTAGAGAAAAGAAAGAAATGGTAGAAAAAAGAAAGAAAGAAATGGATGGTAGAGAAAAGAAAGAAAGAAAGAAAGAAAGAAAGAAATCGTATAGAAAAGAAAGAAAGAACGAAAGAAAGAAAAAAATGGTAAAGAAAGAGAGAAAGAAAGAAATGGTAGAGAAATGAAAGCAAGAAAGAAATGAACGAAAGAAAGAAAGAAATGGTAGAGAAAAGAAAGAAAGAAAAAGAAAGAAAGAAAAAGAAAGAAAGAAAAAAGAAAGAAAGAAATGGTAGAGGAAAGAAAGAAAAAGAAAGAAAGAAAGAAAGAAAGAAAGAAGAAAAGAAAGAAAGAAAGAAAGAAAGAAATGGTAGAGAAAAGAAAAAGAAAGAAAATAGAGAAAAGAAAAAAGAACGAAAGAAAGAAATGATAGAGAAAAGAAAGAAAGAAGAAAGAAATGAATAGAGAAAAGAAAGAAAGAAAGAAAGAAAAAGAAAAGAAATGAAAGAGAAAGAAAGAAAGAAAGAAAGAAAGAAAAAATGAACGGAAGAAAATGAAAAGAAAGAAAGAAATGGTAGAAAAGAAAAAAGAAAGAAAGAAAAGAAAGAAAGAAAAGAAAATAAAATGAAGGTGGAAAAAGTAAAAAAAAACGGAATAATAAAAACAAAGAAAATGGAAAGAAAGAAAAGAAAGAAAGAAAGAAAGAAAGAAAGAAAGAAAGTAAAGGAGAAAAGAAAAAAAAATAAAAATGATAAGTCAAATAAAGAAGTGGAAAAACGAGAAAGAAAAAAAAACTGGAAAAATGAAAAACATAAAAAAAAAATAAACAAAGAACAAAAAAGAAAGAAAAGAAAGAAAAAGAAAAGAAAAGAAAGGAAGAAAGAAAAAAAAAGTGGAAAAAATGATATAGCGTCAAATAAACGAAGACCCAAGAAAGCGAGAGAGAAAGAAAACAGAACGATGAAAGGAAAATGAAAAACATAGAAATAAAAAAAAGAACAAAGAACAAAGAAGCAAGAAAAGAAAGCGAAAGAAAATACAAAGAAAAGAGAGTGAGTGAACAAGAAAGAAAGAAAGAAAGAAAGAAAGAAAGAAAGAAAGAAATGGTAGAGAAAAGAAAGAAAGAAATGGTAGAGGAAAGAAAGAAAGAAAGAAAGAAAGAAAGAAAGAAAGAAATGGTAAAGAAAAGAAAGAAAGAAAGAAAGAAAGAAAGAAAGAAATGGTAGAGAAAAGAAAGAAAGAAATGGTAGAGGAAAGAAAGAAAGAAAGAAAGAAAGAAAGAAAGAAAGAAAGAAAGAAAAAGAAAAGAAAGAAAGAAAGAAAGAAAGAAAGAAAGAAATGGTAGAGAAAAGAAAGAAAGAAAGAAATGATAGAGAAAAGAAAGAAAGAACGAAAGAAAGAAATGATAGAGAAAAGAAAGAAAGAACGAAAGAAAGAAATATGTTGACCCTTAAATCGACCATATGTCTCCCTTAACACAATCAGACTGGGATCAAAGTACTGTATCTGTTCTCGTCTCCTGCATTTTTTCTGTCTTCGAGCAGCTCACAGAAAAATAAACTTGAGTACCGATTATTCCAATCTTTGCAACAGCACCTCCCCTCCACTAATTAAGGATACCAGCGATAGCGTGTCGGTGGTAGTTAAAACCAGGAGATTTTTGTCTTTGACCCTTGCGTACGCGAATGGGCCAGACCACAAGGCACTGACCATCTGCTATATTCTCTCACCATGTAGGGGAAGATGGCCGTAAATACCTAATCATATGTGAGTACATACCATGAAAGGGGAGAAAGGGGAGAAAGGGAATAAAGAGAGGGGGTGAGAATCCCCGAGTGCGCACGAGTGCCAACAACTGCAGGCTGCATTTAGAATATTTTTCCTTGTATGAGTAATCTTTATTATTATTATTATTATTATTATTATTTGTGTATGTTATGTTTCCTGCTTCGTATCCCGTAGAGCCGGGACCAAACTATGGTTCTTAGGCCCTATAGGAGAATTGTTATTTAAATGATAGCATTTTTCTTAGTCTATGGGATGTTCCTAGTAGGGGCGATCTTCTGGGCAACTTGTATATTGATGTTACCTGGGTCACTGTTAGTAAAATTGTCCATTCCTTTTCTCACGAGGCCCAGTGCTCCGATTACTATTGGTACGGTCTCAGTCTTCATTCCCTACATCCTGTTAATCTCGATCTCCAGGTCCTTATATTTGGACAATTTCTCGATAATTTTCATGAAGGTGTTTCTCTCAGATGCTACTGTTATGTCAATAAGCATAGACTTCCTGAATTTCTTGTCTTTTATGATAATATCAGGTCTGTTGTCTTTTATTTCCCTTGCAGTTTGACTTGGCATGTCCCAGAGGATAGTTACATCGTTATTTTGGGTAACTGTGTCTGGTTGGTGCTCATACCATCTCTCAGTGGTTTTGATTTTATGCTTCTTGCATATCTTCCAGTGCCACTACCTTTTTGTCTGTCAGTATATTCATTTTTTGCTAGTTCCGGACATCCTGAGATAATATAGTCGACAGTTTCTTTATATTTTTCTGCAGATCCTGCATTTCGGGTTAATTCAATCCTTGATTATTTGACAGTGATAGGATTTGATTGCGAGGCTTTGGTCCCGAGCTGCAATAATTAGGCCTTTTGCCTTAATTATTATTATTATTTCCTTTGATTTCATTTATTTACACATTTCCTTTCAGATCCTAACCAGAGACCTAATGGTTTCTTGAAATTTTCCACTGATCATTTTTCTGAAGAGAAAAACAAAAAACTAAGATCACACACATTTTATATAGATGGAGCCTTTCTTTATACAGTGATCCCTCGCTAATTCGCGGTTCTACTATCGCGGATTCACGACTTCGTGGATTTTTAAAATATATATATGGAAAATATATCGCGGATTTTCTGGAAAATTCTAGAAAAAACGCAATATATGAACACCTAAATTTTTTCATTAAACCCATTAAGATATTAATAAGAAATATTATTTCCTGGTCTAGGGACAACAAAACAAGCGTAAGATAGCAATAGAAAGGGTACCGCCGTCTGAATTATCGGCTGCACAGTAGAAGTCATCATCAGCTTCATCATCATCATCATCATTTCTACTGCACAGCAAATTCATCACCATCATCATTCAAATTCTACTTCAACTTCTTTCGTGTTGAATACAGTAAAAATATTCTTTTTTTTATAAATCTCAAGTTTTATTGCTTAACAGTTGTCCTTGTTATTAATAGAGTACTGTAATGGGTGGGTTGTTAACAGTACGGGGGGGGTTAAACGTCCAAATACACGTTAATTAAATACTGTAAATATGGCGTCCCTACTTCGCGGAAATTCAGTTATCGCGGCCGGTCTTGGAACAGATCTATCGCGATAAACGATGGATCTCTATGTGAACTGTACTTGTGGGTACAATGTTTTGCATTTCTTAAAGACATAGGCTACCAGAAATCCCTTCAATGACTCTATGGGCACCTTTTCCAATCAGTCCGAGGGCTCCAACTACAACTGAAATTATGGATGTCCTCAGTTGCGAACAATCTCGAGATTTCCACCTGAAGATCATTGCATTTTGATAGTTTTTTGAAGATCTTCAAAGAAATCTTACAATTTGCAGGGACTGCCATGACAATAAGACCTGTTTTGTGGTCTTTGATCACAATGTGTAGGCGATTAGTTCTGACTGTTCTGTCTGTGTATATTATGAAATTCCATAAAATTGTCCTATCTCCGTAACCGGGTCTGGGTGAGGTTCATACCAGTTTCTTGCAGTTTCCTTCCCGTAGAAGTTGCAGATTTTACACTGCAGATATTGGCCAACTCTGTCATGCCAAGTTTTTTTATTCACTGGGTGCTAATACCGTGAAGACTGATACAAGATGGTCAGTAATTGTTTATCATCCTCATCATCATCATATTTCGATTTCTGCTATGGTCACCCTACCAACCAAGACCTAATGGTATGTTGTTATGGTACATTTCATAATTTGTTTTTCTAACTCCCCTAATATCACTAGCGTTACATGGACAAATTTCTTCTTAGTGTTTGGGCTGTATTTATCAAGACAATTTTTCTGTATTTCTCGTAAGTTGGGATCCACATGTATTCAATCAATGTGTTGTTGTGTTCCTTTTTTATCATTCCAAGCACATCTAAGACTGGTACTATTCTTGTTTTCAGTTTCCACATTATTATTATTAAAATTATTATTGTGAGCAAAAAAAGGAATTATTTCTTTATGTGGGCGGAAGAGACAAATTGAAAATTGCAGTTATTCTTTTTTTGTTAGGTTTTTTAATCGGATAAATAGTTCAAATTTTAGACGAACGTTTGCCACGACTCATAACTCGCTGACTTGTTTTTTTGTTGTTGTTTTTTCGTTTTGTTTCCTCGTACTCGATTGTAAACGCGGCAGATTTGTTTGAAAAAATTCCCCCGAAAAATAGAATTAAACAGTGGTTTATTTATTATTATTATTATTGGGAATCAATGTTATATTTTGTTTTTCGTTTTTAAAACAATCATCTTACGTTGAAATTATTCCCTAAGCGTCGTCTAAATTCTTTCACAATTTTAATGATTCCCGTTATTATGAAATCATCTCCTAAGAATATCGTCTGCTGTCTTCATTTGTTTTTTTCCTTTCTTAAAATTCTGAATTCAGATTAAATACCACTCTTAAATTTATTTCATTTGGATTTCATCTTTTTATTTGAAACCGAATATTTTTCTGTCTATTATGCAAATTATTTTAAATGGTTATTTTTATCAGTTTAGTACTTTTTAATTTATAAAATCTTATTTTAATCCCAAAATATTTTAACTGAGTCCCTTAGTTAAATTTTATGCAGGTTTTTTTTGGTTTTAATTTAATTTTTTAGACTCAAATATTCATTCGTGTATTTATTAAAATTAATTTCTACAGTCATAAAAATCACACAATCGATTGACTATCGAATCAACTCTTTTAGCCATGTAGCTTATTCCGATGAAAGTCCAGATCAAAACCGCTTCGCAGAGTAGCTTATAATGACTACAGCCTCAAATCACCACTCTTGTCCTGATAGTCTATTGCAGCTTCAGTCCCAGTTCATCTGTCTTGGACACTTAACCGATAACGACTATAGTCCCCACACAATTTTCTTGACGTAGGATCCTATACAGACTACAGTACCAGCACAGCTTTTTGGCTCCATAGCGACTACAATCTTATCTGTTACGACCACAGTACAAACTTTATTCTCTTAACCATGTAGTCTTTTACGATTCCATCCCAAACGTCATTCGCTTAACTATAGGGCCTAATACGACTACAGTCCGAATTCTAGTGTCTTTGCTACGCAATCTTTTATGTTTGCAGCGCAAACTCAATTCTCTTAGCCTTATTCTCTTAGCTTTATACGATTAGAGCACAAATTCAATCCCATTGGTAAAATAGCCTTTTCCAATTTTAACCCAAACAAAATTCTCTTAAACTTACGGTCACATCATAAAATACCGGTTCCCGCATGATCATCGACGTTAAGCAACGTTGAGCCTGGTGCGTGCCTCGATGGGTAACAGCTTGGGAATACCAGATGCTGTAAGCTTGGATGTGCAGGTGGTGTAATGGATAATGGCTTGGAATTGTTAATCGGAGAGCAGATTTCTAATTCCCGTTGGGTTCGTTATATTCACTTACGCGCAAAACCCATTGGGAAAGGTATGAATCCACCTATTCTCGCACTAGCTATGGGTTAATTAGTAAAACTTATATCACTAAACTATTATCTACCCAAAATATATTCTTACAAACTAAAAATAATTTCTGGCTTTACATAACCAGCAAAGGGTTGATAAGTCGTAAAAAATGAATAAATGAATTAATCAATTCTCTTATCCTTATACAACTGTAGACCAAACACAATTCCGTTCGCCAGGTTGCCTTTTACAATTACAGACAAAACTCGATTTTCAAAGACAGGTAGCCTTATAGGACGGTAGCCTAAACACAATATTCTTAGCCTGATAACCTTATACGACGACGGCTCAAACCCAATTCTCTTAGCCAGGTAGTCAAGATTTATTGTATATAAAATACGATTGGGGTACAAGGCCGAAAATGGAGGGGAATGGCAGAGGCTGGTCATCACTTACTATCTTATACCTAGCTCATCAAGATTCACAGACCATTCACTTATTACAATTTGCATGCCCACTAGAAGAACATCCATTATCATCCAATCCTCCATAAGCCACAATACCGCATACTCTCAGGGTACCTACAAAAATACTCCATAAAAAATTGACGATTATAAAATTCTATATATAAAAATCTGTGGGTGATACGTAATGAGGGCGGGGGTGGGGAATGAACCCCCACTAAATATTGTTATATACCGTACCTATGAACACTAATGGGTATGTCGCAATCCTCATAAATACATTGAACACTATTGTAAGTAGGGGTGATATGATGTCTATGTAGTCCACCATTAGCAGTGGTTTACCTATTTCACGCCGCTGGCGAGTATTGTATTTTGTTGATGTTATAAAGATTACCATTTCATTTCCAACTTCTGTTTTGGTTATTGAGATTTAATTTAAAATTAATACAATTATGGCACAAGGCTGAAAAGGTTGAATGGGTTGAGGCTAGTCTTCACTATCTTTTACCTAACTAATCGGATTCACGAACCATTCATTCATTACAATTTCCTCATTCATCAAAAAAAAAACTCATCCGTCGTCAATCAATCCTCCATACACCATAATACCACATCCTCTCGATGTAAATTTACAGAGCATTAATATTATAAATTAATTGGTGGGGGCTAAAAAATAATATATATATATATATATATATAATTTGTAACTTTTAACTTCAATTTTAAAATATATATATTATAAATTAATTGATTTAATATATATATATATATATATATATATATATATAAATATATATACAAATATATAATGAATGATCATGAAAGGGGAGGGGTGAACCCCAAAACAATCTAAATATCAAAAGAAAGCAAAAATAAGCATAACTGATGTTAGTAGGACCCGTCCAACCCTTCGAAAAAGAGAAACCCCTGTATGCTGCTCGTTGGACAAAATCAAGAGGCGCTCTTGCTAAGGAAGAGGGAAAAGCGAAAATATAGACGGGTATGGAAAATCAATAACGCTGACCCAGTCGAGATGAAAAAGGGGCCAAAACAAACTGGGGGATCATAACCAAAGATGTAGCCGGGAGCAGGCCAGGAACAACACTTACATTAACTAGGTACACAAAAGTTTGTCTAGCCTAACCAGGGGAGGGCTCCACAGGAAACCACCTCGATGTGATATAGGTTGACCTAAAAGAGAAAATCAAGGCTAGCCCCGTTCAAGTGAACTAAGCTCGCCCCAGTCACCTACCAATCGCTAAAGGCTGTCGAATGCAAGCGTTTTCTATCAGTTCTAATCTTCATCTTGAGCTGATGCTCAAAAAATCGGATCAGATCCTAATGAGAAAGACGGTCGCCTCGCAAGATTTCCTCCATTCTTGTCGTCCAAATGATCATTTGGGTCGTGGCCAGCATCGTTAGAAACACCATCCGTTTCACCGCAGAATACGGGGACGACACATTGTTTTGGTTATTTCTCATGCGGTAACCCTTTCTAGGTTACAACAAATATCAAAACAAATACACAAAATAAAAGGATGACTGATGTTAGTTGAACCCGTCAAGCACTTCAAAGAATTAATAGAAGCCACTCTATTCTGTCTTACAGAACTATTTCCCAAACTCAGTCCTGTTCGACATCTTGCTTTTTAAGATTACAGCCCAAACTAAATTTTTCCTAGCTAGATCGCCTTATACGATTAAACCTCTCAGTCCTTTAATCACATTAATTTCATCAGTCAATTACTCCGCTTGTTGCAGATTGTGTATCAACATACGATATTCAACTCCATATTGTTCAATCACCAACAGCAGAGTTCAAAGAGTAAAGGTCAAGTCCAGTTCATAAGTGGACATTAACAAAGCAAAGTTTTGATTCTCTTACCGTCTATCTTTCTAGACATAACTTAACGCCACGAGTTGATCTTTTAATATGACCGTAGTGTTTAAGTACTCTTGACTTGATAACTGATGTGATTGACTTAAGCTTGGTAATGTTGAGTAGGTCATTGATAGAGATATGGTCGCTGGTCGGCAGTTGTTAGTCGCATGATGGGGTTCTGGACTGTAGGGAGATTTTGGAGTGACTTTGTCGTCCAGGTAACACAATGGAGACCATAGAACACAACTAGTCAAACATCTTAGCCTTCAAATAAAAATATTAGAGCTTTTTATTTCCTGTTGAAATCTGCCCAGTCCAATACAGCAACGATTTCATTGCACAGAGATAGGCTACCTCCAGACCCCCGAAGAGCTTCTCTTTACCTCACTTCAGTCAATTGTGTGCTATGCGTGATACACGTGTAGGTGATCATGTATCTTTTGATACTTGACTGACGAGGCAGATTTTTTCCCGCAGTAGATTGCCATTTCTCACTGTGGTAGACCAGTTGCCATCCAAGGCTATAGGACCTGGTCTGTCCTGCTATTTACTCATAGCTGGGGGGGGAGGAGAAGAGGATTCATACTTTTCCCAAGGATATTAGCACGTAAGCAAATGTAATGGAATCAACTGGAATTCGAACTCAGCTCTCCGATTCCTAGCCTTTTACGACTCAGTCTAAACTCAAACCTGTTCGTCACGTTGCCTCTTACGATCACCGTCCAAACTCCATTCTCTTAACCAAGAAGCCTTTTACGACTAAGTTTAAACTCAGTCCTGTTCGTCACGTTGCCTCTTACGATCACAAACTAAACTCCATTCTCTTAACGAAGAAGCCTTTTACGACTCAGTTTAAACTCAATCCTGTTCGTCACGTTGACTCTTACGATCACAAACCAAACTCCATTCTCGTAACCTTTTACGACTATAGGTCTGATGCAATTCCCATCACCACACAGTATATGACCTTCTTCTAAGACCGAACTCGATTGGCCAGGTAGCTGCCATTTGAATTCTTGGTTAGTGAGCTCTCTATACCACCGACCATGATAGACTATCATCTCTCGGCTACGACTGATTTCTTTTGTTGACTGTAAGTCTATTCGGGAAGTACTGTTGGTGTAATGGATAACGACTCGGAATAAAAAGTTAGAGCCGAGGCCGAATTTCAGTCAGATTACCTTTTTGACACCAAGATCTTCTGAATTTAAGCGCAATTCTAGATTGGTCCCAAGGTCTCGACATTTTAAATTTGAAATGGCTAAATGTAACCGCAAGTTCTATGCTAACAGTTTCTTCTCTCGCACTTCATTCTTCCCTCTTCTTGCTTTCCAATCAACCTTGATTTTCAGAAATTTAAATGCATTGCCAATCGTTATCTTTTGTTTTCTTTTTAAATCCTGTTCTTTTATTGTTCTCTCTCCTTAATAAGGTTTATTTTTCTTTTATTTTCTCACACTCAGTAAATAATTGCGTATTAGTGGCTTTGTTGCCTTGCTTGGGGATAAATGATTAAAAAACGTTCGTTGCATTCACTTACGTGAAAATACTCTTGGGAAAGGTATCAATCCCTCTCATCCTCCCAGCTATGGGTTAAATAGTATGATTTTATCTTGAACAAATCAGACATATTCTAAAAAATCTCACAGCCCCCAAAATATGTCTCAGCTATAAATGACGAACTCACAAAGGGTTGATAATCCGTAAAATATCAAATCGAGTCTCTTGCATTGAGAAGTCGAGGGTCAGTGCTTTCCCTTTTACCCGTTAATTTTTAAGGACCTTTTTGTAAGCAACTGACGCAGCCTTGAATTTAATGTAGGAGAGAAAACTGAAAACGAATATCGGCTAATTGAAGTCTTTCAATTCTTTTTTATTCACAGATGGCGGTGTTGTCGTTACGAATCAAAATGACGTTTACATGACGTCACATGAGTAAAGTCTGACTTTAATCTAAGAAATTGTCATGGCAACTTATTGACTCTTATTTACGATTTCCAATTTTTTGCTCATTCTCTTGAAAGGGAATTTGAAGGAATTCCACTTGATTTTCAATTTCCCATTATTATTATTATTATTATTATTACTAGCAGTAGAGCCCGGCGTTGTCCGGGGATGTAACAGTAAGAGATAGATTAAGTATCGACCATCATAAAGACTGAAAAATAAAATCGACAAAGATTATTGTTTAAGGTTGACGGACACGCATGTTTTTTTTTCTTTTATGAATTGGTCAAACCCAAACTCAAACAAAAACATTGTTTTCAATCGTTATGAGTCTACCGATTGAATAAAATTTTATTATAAACAATTGTCTCGTAAATGGAAATTTTAAAGCATTCTGAATGTAAAAATAAAGAAAAAAGTGTGCAAGACAATAAGAAACACTACCTGCCAAAAAAAATGAAGTTTTGTTGAAATCGGTTGAAAAATGTAGGAAATACGATCGCATATATAAACGAACACACACACACACACAAACAAACAACCTGGGGTTTATAATAAGTATAACTCGATATGAGTTGTCCCCCTTTTATTCTGGTGACAGAATCATATTTTATCGTGTTTTCAAATTGATTTCGTGCAAAAACAATTGTGTTTTTCCAATTATTGGCGTTGTCAGAACCACCGCAAGGTAATTTTACGCAGTCCTGTGAAGTTTTGTTGAAATCGGTTGAAAAATGTAGGAAATCCGATCCAATATATAAACGTACAGACACACACACACACACACACACAATCTGCGTTTTATAATAAGTAAGATTATTAAACAAAACGACGTAACTTTTCCAATATTTTTCAACACATAGAGAAAAGCACGATATCTGTCTATATCTCTGAGATGAGTTATCATGATTATTTACATTATTTACATTGCTCGGACTTTTATCATTGCCATATTCACAACGATTTCGGCCACTATACGTACGCTCCGGCCTTCTTCAGATGTTTGGAATTTCGAACCGAACCCTTTATTTCGTCAACCGGGGTAGATTGTTATAGTTCCACGTGTCATGCTTCTTCTGGATGTCTTATTTCCCTTTTAACTCGACTCTCCGATTTTTTTCGGTTCATCACTGCTGTGGCATGGTATTGAACTCACAATTCTTTGCTCTAGTCACTGGGTATAACCAATGCCATGCATCCTTGAGAAAAGAAAAAACACAATGTTTAACAATATTTCAGTAGTACGTCTGTCTTCAAGTTATGTATAAAAATCGCATACAAGTATAAAAATATTTAAAAAAATGCAACGTCGCTTGTCTTGAGAAAAACGGTTGTACTGGCAATCAACGCGCTAAAATGACTGAAACGCGGATAGTGTGAATGGAATGCAACTGAAATGTGAGTAACATGGTGGGGATTCGTCATCTTGAACATTTTCCGTTAGTTAATTAGTTACTAAGAGCAATTAATGAAAGTGTTAACTAGAAATTTTATGGGACTCTCCTGTCCTTCTGTTCATTTGCCTGGAGGGAGTGTGGTTAGCACCGATATTTTGATGGTATTTCTAAAGTACTGCATGACAGATACGAACACGTTACGCAAAATATATACGCGTTTTAAGAAGATTTTTTTCCCGTCCATCATCGCTTTCGAACGAAACAAAAACAACCGATAAATTCTACCGAATACAAGCGACCTCTCAAATCTCTATAGGGATTTCCGATCGTTTTTCTCTAGAAAACACTCATTTTTTTCGCTCACTGGGGTAGACTGTTCTAGTTCCACGTACCATGTTTAATGGATGTCAGGTATCAGTTATCTCCTGTTAATTCCCCTCTCCAAGTTCTCCACTGCCTGAACCGGGTATTGAACTCACACTCTTTCGGATCCTGTCACTGGATCTAACTAACGCCTTTATCCACTGTACCATATGTCCTTAAGGACACATGATAATTGACATCCATTAAACATGGCACGTGGAACTAGAACAGTCTACGCCAGTGAGCGAAATAAATGGTTCAGTTCGACATTCCAACGACCTGAAGAAGGCCAGAGCGTACAACGGCCGAAACGTTGTAATAAAGATGAGGACAATCGTCCGAATAATGTAAATAGTGTACATAATACCTCATCTCAGAAATATAGACAGAATCTATCACAGTCTATTCATTATCTATCTATCTATCTATCTATCTATCTATCTATCTATCTATCACAGTCTATTCATTATCTATCTATCTATCTATCTATCTATCTATCACAGTATATTCATTAACTATCTATCTATCAATCTATCTATCTATCTAAGTCTGTTCATATCTATCTGTTACAGTCTATTCCCTATCTGTCTATCTGTCTCAGTCTGTTCATTATCTATCACAGTCTATTCATTATCTATCTATCTATCTATCTATCTATCTATCTATCTATCTCATTCTGTTCATGATCAGACTGTGTTTGTCATACACCCCTTATCAACAATGTTTTTTTTTTCTCAGAAATATAGACAGATATTGTTGAGCTGTGTTTGAAGATTATTATCTTTTCTTCGCTTTTCGCACACTTTTTTCCTCTAAAGTTCGTAGTGTCGCTGCCGCTGTCTAATACTTGTCAGGTTTGCTCTGGCAGTAATTTCGGTGTTAGGGAAATTGTCTTTCCATGAAACAAGCATGACGCGGAAATGTCAAGCGCATTGCTTAGAGCTACAAAGGATAAGAAGCTGTGGAGTTCTATGAGCGCCTAATAGATATGGAACGTGAAAGAAGAGATGAAACTCAAACGCACTACAGTAAAAATAGTCTACGGAATTGCCGATCAAAATGGCGAGACTCAGATGTCTTAATCGATCTCCGCTGAATCCAAACCGTTGAATCTTTTTCTGTCATATGAACGCAAAATACCGACTTCGCCTTTTAAATTATCGGTATCTTTTAAGCTGCTATAAATTCTGTTTCTCAAGTGCCGAGAAAATGAATCAGGAATTGGTAAAATTATCCACCACTCCTGAAACTGCTTTGCTATATTTGGCAAAACACTGGACATTTAGTCGCAATTTTCGTTTCTCTTTTTGAGTTAAAGCTATCGTATAGAAAAAGAACATTCTGGGATTGTCCATTCTAAAGACCTAGAGTTATTTTAACGCGAAAAGATCTGTTTTCATAGCATACCAACTGTGTCTATCTGCAGGGTCAATTAAAGTTGGCATTGTGTTATTGATATGCAATAGCGTTGAGCTTAGGACGAGACCGGCACCGACTGCACGTGACCAGGGGAATGGGAGAACTAGACGAAATTTCCTTAGAGATGGGCAGTAAAGCAAAATGGAATAAGTAGTTGCCAATATACTCTCTGTAGATTACCCGGATCGACATCACCTGATTAAGATCGGTGTGGGGGGGGGGTCAAACAGGTTGAAATAATTACAAGAAGGATGAGGATAACAGAACGAATGAAAATAATTTAAATAATCTAGCCCAGTCTATCCATTATCTAAGTCTGTTCTTATCTATCCATTTCAATCTGTTTCTATCTATCTATCTCAGCCTATTCTCATCTATCTATACATCTGTCAATATATATATATATATATATATATATATATATATATATATATATATGTATTTATATATATATAAACCTATTTTCAGTCTGTTCTTATCTATCTATCTATCTATCTATCTATCTCAGCCTATTCTCATCTATCTATCATCTATCTATCTATCTATCTATCTATCTATATATATATATATATATATATATATATATATAGCCTTATTCTCATCTATTCATTCATCTATCTATCTATCACATCTATCTATCTATCTATCTTATCTCAGCCTATTCTCATCTATCTATCTATTTCTATCTATCTATCTATATATATATATATATATATATATATATATATATATTTATTTATATATATATATATCCAGCCTATTCTCATTTATCTATCTATCTATCTATCTATCTCAGCAGCCTATTCTCATCTATCTATCTATCTATCTATCTATATATATATATATATATATATATATATATATATTTATATATATATATATATATCAATCTATTCTCATTTATCTATCTATCTATCTATCTATCTATCTCAGCCTATTCTCATCTATCTCAGCCTATTCTCATCTATCTATCTATCTATCTATTTATCTATCTATCTATCTATCTATCTATCTATCTATCTGTTATCATACCGTCAAAGAATGGCTAATGTCGGTTAAAACACTGTTACTCTTTTCTTAAAAAATAATTTCTGCAATATTTTAAACTATTAAATATTTTTGTTTCAAATCAAATTAATTACTATAACTAATTATACGTTAAATCAGCTAATAATTAAATAAAGTTTCAGAAAAGTATATTTTATTTTTGGAAATTTTTTTAATAAACAGAATTTAGTGTAATTTCTGTTTGGCACCAGACTATTTTGCTTACTGGATATAGTAAATTTAATCCTTTAGGTTTCAGTTAAAGCTAAAATAAAAGCTTTTTAAGTATACTTTTTCATTATTTTAAATTAATTTTAAACCTTAGGTAAAGCGATTTTTGTGGATGTCCTTAATATATATCTTTCACGGGATGAACTGACTTCTTTAAACAGTCAGATACCAATTTACTTGAAAAGAAACAATGCATTTATTAATAAGATGAGTAGAAATTAATGCAAGCAAGATTTCACAGTTCTAGCATCACTCCTTCGTAATCAACCTATGAACGTTTCTACCCACCCTCGTAGCTGGAAAGAAACAACGCAGTTATTAATAAGAGTTGAAATTAATGTATGCAAGATTTCACAACTCTCGCATCACTCCTTCATAGTCAGCCCATGAACATTTCAGCCCACCCTCGTAGCTGGAAAGAAACAATGCAGTTATTAATAAGAAGAGTTGAAATTAGTGCCTGCAAGATTTCACAGTTCTAGCATCATTCATTCATAGTCAGCCTATGAACATTTCAGCCCACCCTCGTAGTTAAAAAGAAACAATGCAGTTATTAATAAGAAGAGTTGAAATTAATGCCTGCAAGATTTCACAGTTCTAGCATCACTCCTTCATACTCAGCCTATGAACATTTCAGACCACCCTCGTAGCTGGAAAGAAACAATGCAGTTATTAATAAGAAGAGTTGAAATTAATGCCTGCAAGATTTCACAGTTCTAGCATCATTCCTTCATAGTCAGCCTATGAACATTTCAACCCACCCTCGTAGCTGGAAAGAAACAATGCAGTTATTAATAAGAAGAGTTGAAATTAATGCCTGCAAGATTTCACAGTTCTAGCATCATTCATTCATAGTCAGCCTATGAACATTTCAGCCCACCCTCGTAGCTGGAAAGAAACAATGCAGTTATTAATAAGAAGAGTTGAAATTAATGCCTGCAAGATTTCACAGTTCTAGCATCATTCCTTTATAGTCAGCCTATGAACATTTCAGCCCACCTCGTAGCTGGAAAGAAACAATGCAGTTATTAATAAGAAGAGTTGAAATTAATGGATGCAAGATTTCACAGTTCTAGCATCATTCATTTTATAGTCAGCCTATGAACATTTCAGCCCACCCTCGTAGCTGGAAAAGAAACAATGCAGTTATTAATAAGAAGAGTTGAAATTAATGCCTGCAAGATTTCACAGTTCTAGCATCATTCCTTCATAGTCAGCCTATGAATTTTTCAACCCATCCCTCGTAGCTGGAAAGAAACAATGCAGTTATTAATAAGAAGAGTTGAAATTAACAATGCAAGATTTCACAGTTCTAGCATCATTCCTTCATAGTCAGCCTATGAACATTTCAACCCACCCTCGTAGCTGCAAAAAGAAACAATGCAGTTATTAATAAGAAAGTTGAAATTAAATGCAAGATTTCACAGTTCTAGCATCATTCCTTTATAGTCAGCCTATGAACATTTCAGCCCATTCCCCTCGTAGCTGGAAAGAAACAATGCAGTTATTAATAAGAAGAGTTGAAATTAATGCCTGCAAGATTTCACAGTTCTAGCATCATTCATTCATAGTCAGCCTATGAACATTTCATACACCCTCGTAGCTGGAAAAAACAATGCAGTTATTAATAAGAAGAGTTGAAATTAATGCCTGCAAGATTTCACAGTTCTAGCATCATTCCTTCATAGTCAGCCTATGAACTTTTTTCAACCCATCCTCGTAGCTGGAAAGAAACAATGCAGTTATTAATAAGAAGAGTTGAAATTAATGCCTGCAAGATTTCACAGTTCTAGCATCATTCATTCATAGTCAGCCTATGAACATTTCAGCCCATCCCTCGTAGCTGGAAAGAAACAATGCAGTTATTAATAAGAAGAGTTGAAATTAATGCCTGCAAGATTTCACAGTTCTAGCATCATTCTTTTATAGTCAGCCTATGAACATTTCAGCCCACCCTCGTAGCTGGAAAGAAACAATGCAGTTATTAATAAGAAGAGTTGAAATTAATGCCTGCAAGAATTCACAGTTCTAGCATCAGTCATTCATAGTCAGCCTATGAACATTTCAGCCCACTCTCGTAGCTGGAAAGAAACAATGCAGTTATTAATAAGAAGAGTTGAAATTAATGCCTGCAAGAATTCACAGTTCTAGCATCATTCCTTCATAGTCAGCCTATGAACACTAATGGGTATGTCCCAATCCTCATAAATACGTTGGACACTATTGTAAGTGAGGGTAATGTGTCTATGTAGTCCACCATTAGCAGTGGTTTACCTACTTCACGCCGCTGGTGAGTATTTTATATTGTTGATGTTATAAAGATTACCATTTCATTTCCAACCTCCGTTTTGGTCATTCATCATTCAGTAACCCTTTCTAGGTTACAACGATGTTATAAAATTTATTATATTATTTCATTTTATTTGAGAATCCTTAAATTAGATGATGAATGCACGTTTTAATATATTCCTGGAATCTATAATCTGTTTCCTCTTAATGTAAGATCACAAGGCATTGTTTTTGCAACTTTACAAGGTTGTGGCCGCATTGTTGAGAATCTGCAAAAAAAAAAAAAAGAAAGAAGTTTTTGCAACCTGTGTAAAATAATCGAAACATTGTAACGACGTAATTTTGTTGGCTGGGTTTGAACGTGCAGCCCCCCCTTTCGTGCTTCTAGCCATCGACTTCCCTCACCTGTTTCCATCATTCATCGACCCTGCTTTCTAACAAGCATTCTAACGTAAGAAGCGTCAAAATTAATGACCGTGTATATGAGCTTGGGAAGAACAGGATTGTTGTTTGACTAGTACCGGTGTAAATGAGCCAGGGTAGAGGTTAGGCCTCAGCAACCCACCACCAGCATCACCACGACAAACTATCATCATCATTGTCATCATCAATTCTGGATTTCTAATGAGTGAATACAAACAAGAACGGAACTAGGCTCACATTTCAGAGAAATTCATTCTCCGCCATTTTGTTTTTCCTCCTCGTATTCGTTCTTTTCTCTTTCGCTCGTTTGATTTTATCTTGGAATTTTAAAAAATCTTTTTAGAATTATTTTTTCTTTCTTTCTTTCCTTTTTTTCCTTTCTTTTTCGTCTTTTATTCATGTCGTTTTTTTTTCACCTTCTGTTTTCTCATACTTTTTTATGATTTTCTCTTTTCTGTCCTTTAACCTGTTCTTTCTTTCCTTTTACTCCTGACCATTTCTTTCTTTTTTTTTCTTTCTTCCTTCCTTTCTTTCTTTCTTTCTTTCTTTCTTTCTTTCTTTCTACTTCAGGACTTTTCTTTCTTTCTTTCTACTTCAGGCCTTTTCTTTTTTTGTCTTTATTTTCTCTTTCTTTCTTTCTTTCTCCCTTCTACCATTTCTTTCTTCTACCATTTCTTTCTTCTACCATTTCTTTCTTTCTTTCTTTCTTTCTTTCTACTTCAGGCCTTTTCTTTCTTTTGTCTTTTATTTTCTCTTTTATTTCTTTTCTCCTTCTACCATTTCTTTCTTTCTTTCTTTCTTTCTTTCTTTCTTTCTTTCTTTCTTTCTTTCTTTCTTTCTACTTCAGGCCTTTTCTTTCTTTTGTCTTTATTTTCTCTTTCTTTCTTTCTCCCTTCTACCATTTCTTTCTTCTACCATTTCTTTCTTCTACCATTTCCTTTTCTTTATTCCTTTCTTTCTTTCTTTCTTTCTATTTTTTCTTTCTACTTCAGCCTTTTTCCTTTCTTTTTGTCTTTTTTTCCTTTTCTTTCTTTCTCCCTTCTACCATTTCTTTTTTTTTTCTTTCTTTCTTCTACCATTTCTTTCTTTATTCCTTTCTTTCTTTCTTTCTTTCTTCTATCATTTTTCTTTCATTCGTCTACCATTTCTTTCTTTCGTCTACTATTTCTTTCTTTCTTCTACTGTTTCTTTCTTTCTTTCTTCTGCCATTTCTTTCTTTCTTTCCTTCTTTTCTTTCTTTCTTTCTTTTCTTTTCTTTAACCATTTTTTTTTCATTTTTCTTTCTTTCTTTCTTTCTTTTACTCCCAGCCCTTTTTTTTCTTTTCTTCCTTTCTTTTCTTTTTCTTCCTTCTTCATTTCTTTCTTTCCTTCTTTCTTTCTTTCTTTCTTTCTTTCTTCCACCATTTCTTTCTTTCTTTCTTTCTTTCTTTTTACTCCTTGCCCTTTCTTTCTTCTGTCATTTCTTTCTTTCTGTTGATTTTTAAATGTCCCTTTCTAACCACGTCCTCTTCTTTTTCCTTTTGTCTTTATTGCTTAGCTTTCTTTTTTCTTTCTTTTTCTTTCTTTCTTTTCTTTCTTTTTTTTACTCCTTGCTATTTCTCTCTCTGTTTTTTTTCTTTTTGTTCTTCTTTATCATTTCTTCCTTCTTTTTTCTACCATCTCTTTCTTTCTGTTATTTGCTTTAAATCTCTTTTCCTACCATTTTATTTCTTCTCTCTTTTTCCTCTTATTCCCTTTATAATCCGTCCTCCTTTAAGATTCCTTCTTACTTTTACTTCTTCCTTTTTTCTTTTTTAGATTCCTTCTTACTTTACTTCTTCCTCTTTTTCCTTTTAGATTCCTTCTTACTTTACTTCTTCCTCTTTTTTCTTTTTTAGATTCCATTTTACTTTACTTCTTCCTCTTTTCCCTTTAGATTTCTTCTTACTTTACTTCTTCCTCTTTTCCTTTTTTAGATTCCTTTTTACTTTACTTCTTCCTCTTTTTCCTTTTTTAGATTCCTTCTTTTTTTACTTCTTCCTCTTTTCCCTTTAAATTCCTTCTTACTTTTCTTCTTCCTCTTTTTCCTTTAGATTTCTTCTTACTTTACTTCTTTCCTTTTTTCCTTTAGATTCCTTCTTACATTACTTCTTCCTCTTTTTCCCTTTAGATTCCTTCTTGCTTTACTTCTTCCTCTTTTTCCCTTTAGATTCCTTCTTACTTTACTTCTTCCTCTTTTTCCCTTTAGATTCCTTCTTACATTACTTCTTCCTCTTTTTCCCTTTAGATTCCTTCTTACTTTACTTCTTCCTCTTTTTCCCTTTTCTTTCTTTTTACTCCTAGCCCTTTCTTTCTTTCTTCTGCCATTTCTTTCTTTCTTTCCTTCTTTCTTTGTTTCTTTCTTTCTTTCTTTTACTTCTTCCTCTTTTTCTTTCTTTTCTTCTGCCATTTCTTTTCTTTCTTTCCTTCTTTTCATTCTTTTTTCTTTTCTTTCTTTCTTCCATTTCTTTCTTTTCTTTTCTTTCTTTCTTTTTTTCCTTGCCCTTTCTTTCTTCTGTCATTTCTTTCTTTCTGTTGATTTTTAAATGTCCCTTTCTAACCACGTCCTCTTCTTTTTCCTTTTGTCTTTATTTTCGCTTTCTTTCTTTCTTTCTTTCTTTCTTTCTTTCTTTTTACTCCTTGCTATTTCTCTCTCTGTTTTTTTCTCTCTTTTGTTCTTCTATCATTTCTTCCCTTCTTTTTTCTACCATCTCTTTCTTTCTGTTATTTGCTTTAAATCTCTTTTCCTACCATTTTTATTTCTCTCTCTCTTTCTCTTATTCCCTTTATAATCACGTCCTCCTTTTAGATTCCTTCTTACTTTACTTCTTCCTCTTTTTCCTTTTAGATTCCTTCTTACTTTACTTCTTCCTCTTTTTCCTTTTAGATTCCATTTTACTTTACTTCTTCCTCTTTTTTCTTTTAGATTCCTTCTTACTTTACTTCTTCCTCTTTTTCCCTTTAAATTCCTTCTTACTTTACTTCTTCCTCTTTTTCCCTTTAGATTTCTTCTTACTTTACTTCTTCCTCTTTTTCCCTTTAGATTCCTTCTTACTTTACTTCTTCCTCTTTTCCTTTAGATTCCTTCTTCCCTTTGCTTTCTTCCTCTTTTTTCCTTTAGATTCCTTCTTACTTTACTTCTTCCTCTTTTTCCTTTAGATTCCTTCTTCATTACTTCTTCCTCTTTTCCCTTTAGATTCCTTCTTACTTTACTTCTTCCTCTTTTCCCTTTAGATTCCTTCTTACATTACTTCTTCCTCTTTTTCCTTTAATTTTTAGATTCCTTCTTACTTTACTTCTTCCTCTTTTTTCCTTTAGATTTCTTCTCCTCTTTTACTTCTTCCTCTTTTTTTCCTTTTTTAGATTCCTTCTTACTTTTACTTCTTCCTCTTTTTCCTTTAGATTCCTTCTTCTTTTACTTCTTCCTCTTTTTCACTTTAGATTTCTTCTTACATTACTTCTTCCTCTTTTCCTTTAGATTCCTTCTTAATTTACTTCTTCCTCTTTTTCCTTTTTAGATTCTTCTTACTTTACTTCTTCCTCTTTTTCCCTTTAGATTTCTTCTTACTTTACTTCTTCCTCTTTTTCCCTTTAGATTTCTTCTTACTTTACTTCTTCCTCTTTTTCCCTTTAGATTCCTTCTTACTTTACTTCTTCCTCTTTTTCCCTTTAGATTCCTTCTTACATTACTTCTTCCTCTTTTTCCCTTTAGATTCCTTCTTAATTTACTTCTTCCTCTTTTTCCCTTTAGATTTCTTCTTACTTTACTTCTTCCTCTTTTTCCCTTTAGATTCCTTCTTACTTTACTTCTTCCTCTTTTTCCCTTTAGATTTCTTTTCTTTCTTCTTTTTTTTCTTTCCTCTTTCCCTTTAGATTCCTTTAGATTCCTTCTTCTTACTTTACTTCTTCCTCTTTTTCCCTTTAGATTCCTTCTTACTTTACTTCTTCCTCTTTTTCCCTTTAGATTCCTTCTTACATTACTTCTTCCTCTTTTTCCCTTTAGATTCCTTCTTACTTTACTTCTTCCTCTTTTTCCCTTTAGATTCCTTCTTACTTTACTTCTTCCTCTTTTTCCCTTTAGATTCCTTCTTACTTTACTTCTTCCTCTTTTTCCCTTTAGATTCCTTCTTACTTTTACTTCTTCCTCTTTTTTTCCCTTTTAGATTCCTTCTTACTTTTACTTCTTCCTCTTTTCCCTTTAGATTCCTTCTTACATTACTTCTTCCTCTTTTTTCCTTTAGATTCCTTCTTAATTTACTTCTTCCTCTTTTTTTCCTTTAGATTTCTTCTTACTTTTACTTCTTCCTCTTTTTCCTTTAGATTCCTTTCTTCCTTTTGCTTTACTTCTTCCTCTTTTTCCTTTAGATTTCTTCTTCCTTTTACTTCTTCCTCTTTTTCCTTTTTTAGATTCCTTCTTACTTTTACTTCTTCCTCTTTTCCCCTTTAGATTCCTTCTTACTCTTTTACTTCTTCCTCTTTTCCCTTTAGATTCCTTCTTACATTACTTCTTCCTCTTTTTCCTTTAGATTCCTTCTTAATTTACTTCTTCCTCTTTTTTCCCTTTAGATTTCTTCTTACTTTACTTCTTCCTCTTTTTTTCCTTTAGATTCCTTCTTACTTTACTTCTTCCTCTTTTCCCTTTAGATTTCTTCTTACTTTTACTCTTTTACTTCTTCCTCTTTTTTCCTTTAGATTCCTTCTTACTTTACTTCTTCCTCTTTTCCTTTAGATTCCTTCTTACATTACTTCTTCCTCTTTTTCCTTTAGATTCCTTCTTACTTTACTTCTTCCTCTTTTTCCTTTAGATTTCTTCTTACTTACTTTACTTCTTCCTCTTTTTCCTTTAGATTCCTTCTTAATTTTACTTTCTTCCTCTTTTTCCCTTTTAGATTCCTTCTTGCTTTACTTCTTCCTCTTTCCCTTTAGATTCCTTCTTACTTTACTTCTTCCTCTTTTTCCTTTTAGATTCCTTCTTACATTACTTCTTCCTTTTTTTCCTTTAGATTCCTTCTTACATTACTTCTTCCTCTTTTCCCTTTAGATTCCTTCTTACTTTACTTCTTCCTCTCTTTTTCCTTTAGATTTCTTCTTACTTTTACTTCTTCCTCTTTTTCCTTTAGATTCCTTCTTACTTTTACTTCTTCCTCTTTTCCCTTTAGATTCCTTCTTCTTCTTCTTCTTCCTCTTTTTCCCTTTAGATTCCTTCATTACTTTTTTCTTTACTTCTTCCTCTTTTCCTTTTTAGATTCCTTTTTCCCTTTACTTCTTCCTCTTTTTTCCTTTTTAGATTTCTTCTTACTTTTCCTTTCTTCCTCTTTTTCCCTTTAGATTTCTTCTTACTTTTACTTCTTCCTCTTTTTTCCCTTTAGATTTCTTCTTACTTTACTTTCTTCCTTTTTTTCCTTTAGATTTCTTCTTCCTTTTACTTCTTCCTCTTTTTCCTTTAGATTTTCTTCTCCCTTTACTTCTTCCTCTTTTCCTTTAGATTCCTTCTTACTTTTACTTTTCTTCCTCTTTTTCCTTTAGATTCTTTTCTTACTTTTACTTCTTCCTCTTTTTCCTTTAGATTTCTTCTTACTTTACTTCTTCCTTTTTTTTTCCCTTTAGATTCCTTCTTACTTTACTTCTTCCTCTTTTTCCTTTAGATTCCTTCTTGCTTTACTTCTTCCTCTTTTTTTCCTTTAGATTCCTTCTTACTTTTTACTTCTTTCCTCTTTTTCCTTTAGATTCCTTCTTGCTTTTACTTCTTCCTCTTTTTCCTTTAGATTCCTTCTTGCTTTACTTCTTCCTTTTTTCTTATTTTTTTTAGATTCCTTTTTCCTTTACTTCTTCTCTTTTCCTTTAGATTCCTTCTTTGATTTTACTTCTTCCTCTTTTTCCCTTTAGATTCCTTCTTTTTTACTTCTTCCTCTTTTTCCCTTTAGATTCCTTCTTACTTTACTTCTTCTTTCCTCTTTTTCCCTTTAGATTCCTTCTTACTTTTACTTCTTCCTCTTTTTCCTTTTAGATTCCTTCTTAGATTTTTTTACTTCTTCCTCTTTTTTCCCTTTAGATTCCTTCTTACTTTACTTCTTCCTCTTTTCCCTTTAGATTCCTTTTCTTGCTTTACTTCTTCCTTTTTTCCCTTTAGATTCCTTCTTACTTTACTTCTTCCTTTTTTTCCCTTTAGATTCCTTCTTACTTTACTTCTTCCTCTTTTTCCCTTTAGATTTCTTCTTACTTTACTTCTTCCTCTTTTTCCCTTTAGATTTCTTCTTACTTTACTTCTTCCTCTTTTTCCCTTTAGATTCCTTCTTACTTTACTTCTTCCTCTTTTTCCCTTTAGATTTCTTCTTACTTTACTTCTTCCTCTTTTTCCCTTTAGATTCCTTCTTTTTTCACTTCTTCCTCTTTTTTCCCTTTAGATTCCTTCTTACTTTACTTCTTCCTCTTTTCCCTTTAGATTCCTTCTTACTTTACTTCTTCCTCTTTTTTCCTTTAGATTTCTTCTTCCTTTTACTTCTTCCTCTTTTTTCCTTTAGATTTCTTCTTACTTTTACTTCTTCCCTTTTTCCCTTTAGATTCCTTCTTTTTTACTTCTTCCTCTTTTTCCTTTAGATTTCTTCTTACTTTTACTTCTTCCTCTTTTTTTCCTTTAGATTTCTTTTCTTACTTTACTTCTTCCTTTTTCCCTTTAGATTCCTTCTTACTTTTTTACTTCTTCCTCTTTTTTCCTTTAGATTTCTTCTTAGATTTTACTTCTTCCTCTTTTCCTTTAGATTCTTCTCTTTTTTACTTTTTCCTCTTTTTTTTTTTTAGATTTTCTTCTTACTTTTTACTTCTTCCCTTTTTTCCTTTTAGATTCCTTTTCTTTTCTTTACTTCTTCCTCTTTTCCCTTTAGATTTCTTCTACTTTTACTTCTTCCTTTTTCCCTTTAGATTTTCTTCTTACTTTACTTCTTCCCTTTTTCCCTTTTGATTCCTTCTTACTTTTACTTCTTCCTCTTTTTCCTTTAGATTTCTTCTTACTTTTACTTTTCCTTTTTTTTCCTTTAGACCTCTTTCCTTCTTACCTTACTTCTTCCTCTTTTTTCCCTTTAGATTTCTTCTTACTTTACTTCTTCCTCTTTTCCCCTTTAGATTTCTTTCTTACTCTTTTTTTTTAGATTCTTCCTCTTTTTTTTTTTAGATTTCTTCTTACTTTTACTTCTTCCTTTTTCCCTTTAGATTCCTTCTTAATTCTTCCTCTTTCTTCCTCTTTTCCCTTTAGATTCCTTCTTACATTACTTCTTCCTCTTTTTCCCTTTAGATTCCTTCTTACTTTTTTACTTCTTCTTCTTTTTCCTTTAGATTCCTTCTTCCTTTTTTCTTCTTCCTCTTTTTCCTTTAGATTTCTTCTTACTTTACTTCTTCTCTTTTTTCCCTTTAGATTTCTTTTTCTTTACTTTTTACTTCTTCCTTTTTTCCTTTAGATTTCTTCTTACTTTACTTCTTCCCCTTTTTTCCTTTAGATTCCTTCTTCCTTTTACTTCTTCCTTTTTCCCTTTAGA